GGAGCAGGCTACTGACTTACCAGTTGACAATTTCGACAGTCCACATCAATTCCATCTGCTGTCACAGATGCCCAGCATTTCTATGCCATATCTTCGCATTTCTTTGGCTACATGGGCAGCCTTCCTAGTCTCGTAGATTGTACGTACATTCCACGTACACATTCTTAATTTTGCTTTCATCGAGGGAAGATACATCGACTGGCTGACTGGTTTCCCGAAGGCTTTCACCAGCTCGCGTAATTTCGCCTCTCCGACTCCAGCGAAGAATAAGATTGTTATTTGAATTATTTGTATTTTAAATATTTTTTGTGCGTTGAAGTTTCTGTAGGAGTTTGGATGGTTTTACTGCGTACAGTAGCTGGTCCTACTCCTAACCCTTTGACTTGACGCGGGCTTGAGACCGGCTAGAATACTAGGAAGTTAGTTATCTAGGCGAGGTCTGCCTGCTCTAAAACGAAAGCGAAAATGAAATACATGACCAACTAGCTTGATTGCGAGTATTTGGTGGATGGTGACTAGCAGTGGGGTCCAGGGTGCGAATTTCATCCCACTTGGACGAGTCATCAGGATGTACCTGCATTCCCTACTGACTGGTGCTATTGCGACTGACTCGAAACATCAGTGTTATTCACCAGAGCACTTGGGTCACAAAAGGCACGTTTTGTGCAATGAGAATTGTTTAATATTCGTTTTTTAAGTCAATTATGACTTTCCTGCTGATTGATTGGACCGTAAGGTTCAGACTCTGTTAACGGGTAGGCCCCCCTGCGACAATGTCTAGGGATTAACTTTTTAAGAGAGCCCGAACATTTCAGTCCAATCAATAATAGGGTAATCAAAATTGACCTAAAAAATAATAATAACTTAAACTCTATGATATCATCTACTTTTAAAAGCGATATTTCACAGGTGAAGTAAATAAGTAACTGACTATCTTGACAATAACAGGTGGCTAACTGAAAGGAATCCTTTGTATTTGAACATGATCCTACGAAGTGGTAAAGAAAGACTACACTTTCAATATGAATTGACAACTGCTTAACATTCGAGTGACGTTATACGTTGTATATTCAGGCTGCAAATAAAAATAAAGAGTGGAAAAATTGCCTTCATCTACCACACAATTACCCTTTTATTCATTCCTTCGCGTTCCTAGTGAAACATGCGGCTCCTAACTTTTAAGTTTCAGTAGGGATGATGTTGTTTTTACGGCTTGCAGTTACTAGACTCATGCCTAACCTTCTTCTCTTCTTCAGGCTTAATATCAGCTAGTACACTAAGCGGAGTTTAGAAATGTGTCAACGAGGAATCGAACCCAAACATCCAAACATGCTTGATGAACGTTTTCCTATTAAAATTAGACGTAGTAAAGTCTGCATAAATGCTTGCTACTGAAATAAGTATCAAAAAAGTGATCAGCACATTTCTCAAACTCGTTCCGAAGAAAATACTATCTAAAAGAAGCAGAAAAACCTTACTTTTAATACAATCTTTCCTTGTTTTTGAAGTAATATAAAAACTACATTTCGGCTCTAGCTGATCAGACAACCTAAAGGCTTATCCAGTCAGCAGTCTGTCCTGTCTATCTGTCTCTCTCTTACACATATACACATACAACTAATGGACAGATTATTTTACCTACTTTGCGTTCATCTAAATGTAACTTTAATCTGCCTTCTGTAAGACGAAGCCAGGGCCTTGGCATACATAGCATTATTACAGTTTTAATTTTGTACAGATATAGAAAAAAATTAAAGAATATTCCATAGCATCGCCAACGATGCATGTGGTTTGGAGTACGATACCCGACCGATGCACTCCTAAACCTCGCTAAGCCGATAGTATGGCCGGTAAAGAGGAAAGGTTGGGCATGAGACTAGCAACCTGACCTCGTAAAAATAAAACCACTGCTACCGCAACACCAAAGCTTTAACCTGAAGCCCTATGTTACACTCGGAACATAAAAGAATAAAATAGAAATTTTTAAAAATCATAGCATAACAGTGGAGTTTTGAAACTGATGTCATGTTGTAATTTTAACGTCTTAAAGTTCTCATCATTTTGTGAGATTTATCTTGTATAACTTTTTCAGTGTATTTATTTATAGAAAGATAGGTTACATGATTGATAATCAAGCTTTTTTAACTGTACAACATGAATTCTGGTTTACTATAAAAATTAACGTGTTCGCGTACAGCATCTTGTATGTTGTTATAATTCTTTAAAAAGCTTAATGAATTATATCCCATTGTTAGCTTTTTTTCACTCCATAAAATTGTTAAAATCAGGCAGATAAAAAGATACAAGAACAGTAGACCACTTTACTGAAATATATCAAGCATTAAATGAGCAGTGCATAAAATAATGAATTCATTGAAACAAATGCCAAGTAGGGCAAAAAATAATTCAGGAAATAATTTTTTAAAAATAAAGCTGCTAACGATATAGAGAAAAAACACTTTTGGGGCAGTACTAAAGAATTTGTATGGTACGGTACATAAATACAAATTGAATGAGTTTTTGAATTTTTTGTTAGTCAGTATCTCCGAGTGACAATTCTTCACGAAAATCAAATATTGATATAAATCACATTGAAAGCAAAACATATGGTTATTAAATCTTTAGTACGGAAAATTCCCTAAATGTATTCTATTAAACTAGTTCAATACATAATTTTGAATAAAACATGATTAAAAAAACATTCTGTTAAAAATCAGTGTCCTATGGATTCTCTGAAAATTTGGTTGCTATCCCCAGTCTGAGTTTTCTTTGGTAAAGCTTTCAATATCGCCCCAAATGTAATCATAAGTGCTAATTCACAAGAAGGAACGCTTTATGTACTTACTCCTTTCAACACCACGAAGATTAACAAAATAACCCGTTTTAGGATAACGATAACTAAAATATCAGTCCTTGCGTTTCTATTATAATCAGCTGTTGAACAAAACTTATTTAACTAAATAAACAACTTTTGATGTAAATGCAATGTGATAAATTAATACAGACGGAGAGCTGCGGCTTCTATCCATTCGAGTATCACCTAGGAGAGAACGTACCATTAATAAAATGCTCATTTCAAAACAAGTGATAAAGTACATAGATGAAACGGTTTTTCTTCTTCCCTAACGTTTAGCCTTCACCCATTATATGAAGCTGCACTTTAATGGCTTTTTAGAGAGCTAACCAGTAGCCGAACACCCGAGCGATGTTATTGTATGCGGAAACATATAGTAGAAAAATAAAAACGTTTTGATCTCATTACGATATTCAGTGATGAATTCCTAGGAACAGCTGATAAGAAGGCAACAGTGACGACGCATCATGAATTGGAAGCTGAATCAGGGAATTTAACAGTCACACAGCCATTTTGGAGATAACATATCAGTATATATATGTGATGGAATATCTGCTCAATTATGCTTTGTGATTCATTTTTAAGTGATAAAGCTGAGTTACTTAGGAAACAAGATCTCAATTATTGTCCAAACGTATATACTTTGACATTTTAAAAGAAATGTCATGATGACGAGAAAATGACTTTGTTGAATAATCCCCTTAGGAGGTTCTCAGTATATCATAACCTAAAAAGGGAAATTCGAATCCGGAGAGCAACCAGTTTATTTAGGATATTCAGACGCTAAGATGTTAATATTCATTACTATATTCAATGTTTCATGAGTACAACTGTCTAAATATTCCGAGCAATGTCTTGACCGTTGTATTATTCTCACTATAATATATTATCAAATATTTCGTTGAAAATACAATCAAACATTTGACATTTTTTAAGTGTTTTTTACATTTCTCTTTTCTTTTAAGAAGTTAAAATAAAACTTGAAGATCAATAAAATATTCTGAGTGAACGCTCAATAAATATGAATGATAGGCTACAGAAAATAACTAAATCAGTCACATATTTATAATGTGTATTTTTTAATACAGAAAATTATCACTCAGCAACTACATGCGTTTCCACGTACTTCGCAATAAGCTACATCTATTCTGCCAGTTAATAACACACTATCTGGCAATTTGAACTGCTGTAGGCGCAGAATGGCTGTAACTTGTAATCAACAGAATAAAAGATGATTTCCTAAAGTGAAGAATTACAGCTACAAATAAACAGTACTGCAATGAATGCATATATAGTGAGTACTGGAAGAATGACTAGCTAGGCTGTAATGGGGAATGTCACAAAAACCTCAAATAAATATATACCACAAGATATTAATGTCAGTGGACTGAATGAGTTGTATGTGTGTATGCATGTAGTGAGATACACTAACATATGCAAATAAAAAGATGTGACATATATATATAAATGTATGTATGTATATATATTAAAGATTCCTATAGTAAAATCTAAAACGTGTGAGGGAACAATAGTGTTCTCAACTAGATCTTTTTGGGCTTTACTGTAGTTTGTAGGAATTCATAAATAAATGTTAAATATAAGACAATACTGTCCGCGTACATATAATATATAGTTACCAAAGCATGAAATAAAGGACAGAAGACAACTAAATTACCTTTGTTGTAAAAATTATCAGACTGTTAAACAAACAAATATGAAATCATTAGTGATTGATGCAATGCAGTGGGACTAAGACTAAAATCAGAATAGAGGGAAGACTCTAATCAGAAGTAACCGAGTTATTGATCATATGGTATCTAGACTATCATAATAGATGCAGTTGTTAACCAGATCACAATTTCACTTTAAGCACCAAGTCTTTTCCTCAGCTTTAGTGTGACTAAGTAATTCATGAATATCGTCTAGGGAGATTAGCTGCCCGATACATTAAAATTCAATCTAAAGCACACACCCATCAGAAAAGAAATTGACGAACTGTTTGACAGATCATTGCTTATGAGATAAAGTGACTAGTGAGACTAAGCGAAAACTACGTAAATCTGAACAAGGTTTTTGTATCAACGACTGCGACCAGGTTAATGAATATTCTATAAATATACTCATGCAATAAAAGGGTACAACTCACATTGTTCAACCATGCATCAGATAGTTTCAATGATGTACGAAACAATTCAATTGCTAAAGTATCTGATTCTAGATTGAAATCCCCACTGATAATGATAGCATCTGAACCAGTCGATGTCATTCGAATAAACTCCATCACCTCAATTAATTGGGAAATTCTATGTCCATTATATTTATCCATTGAACGATTCAACTCATAACGAGCAATTAGCTTTAAAATTGCAAACAGAATTGAAAATTTTGACGAACAGAATTCCGGCCAATCTGATATATTACATATATTTATAAATGATCAAAAATATAAATTTAAACAGTGCACAATTCAAATATGAAATTTGCATAAATTTCTCCCATCTACAGAACTTTATAACCGTACACACCTCTGACCTCCTCCGAGATAGGACATATGACAATCACGTTAGTCAGTGAACATTCTATCAATTGAATGGAATACAACGGACCACGATTTCCACCTTTCACTAGTGCAAAATATAGCCCCACTGTGTCACAGAGTAAAGGTCCGCTCACTTCATTTGGTAGGCTCCAGCCCTTAGTGATTCACAAAAGATTTTTGAAACCCATCTTGATAATAATCAGCAATAGTGAATCCTGATTCAGTGACTGAATAGTGACATAAGAAAGGTAGACCTCATTTAAATTTGAGAGTATAAAAGGATCAATTCCAAACTGATAGAGAACAGCCACTTCCTACTTTTATGTTTCATGTGTATTTTTAGTTATTTTCAGTTATTGGGAAATTGTAAACGTGAGCTACTAAATTTTGAGTTTTAATAGAAAACAAAAGAATTCACAACAAAAATAAAAAGATATATTAAAACACAAAGTATGTTGGTATAGCTAAATGTACTGCTATTTCGATATACATTATCCTTTAGTAAAACTTGATACATGATGAACGGATAGTAATGACATCACTAACAATATTTTATTTTTACTTCACAACAGTTGGAACACCCAACATTCAAAATTCGCATGCAACACAGAATAACTGTGTATCCATTTAGTCTGTTTATTAAATTCAAATTGTTTTACATTTTTAATTTAATTTAAAGACACTTGCTTTGCCACTACACAACAGACGGTAAAAATCCATTTCATTCCGCAGAAACACGTAGTCTGCAGAACAAAACATGCCTACTTAATTTTAGATGTTATTCATAGCTACCAACAGCCTAAAATACAGCATCGACGAAACTGAGACAAAAAATCTTCGATTGAACAGTACGTAGAAAGAGAGACGAAGTTACATGAAAGAGAAATGAGTGATGAAATCAGTATCACAGCCACTATAGAAAAAATACTTAAGACCAATCGGAACAAAATTCAGGTAATTCCTCCAAAGAGTATTCACTCAAGAACGTATATAACAAAAATATATGATCACTAAGATTATGTAGAAAACTACAAAAAAGTCCAGACAAGGTGTAGAAAAAATGGAGCAAAAGACAAAATTTAAGGTAGAATGAATTATTACTGATGAGAAAGTCACATTAATCAACATACTTCTGTTGAACTCTCAATACAAATTAATCGTGGTGATTTACACACCTACTTTGTACACTGAATCCATCAGATACAGAGCCACTATATTTGTAAGGGAGAATATTTGAGTCATACTTTTCAAAAATGAATTCGACATGATATATGTCAATATTTCGTTTTGTGTAGCTGATGGTAGCTATGGTACCTAAGCCGAACCTTCGTAAGCATAAAGAGAGTGATTTATTCGACACTTCATTGTGAGTGGTATACACATTTACCTAAAAAGTAAAACTGCATTCATTAGAGATCAGTAAGCAACCACATACCACTGTTAAGCAATATAACAAAAACCAAGCAAGGAGAGTAATTTTTAAGGCCTGTACAACTCAGAAAATATTGTTGACATCAGGTGAAGCTTATAAACGAGTTTTCAGTAATTGAAAAGCTTAACACCAATAATTTAAAAAACTGACTGCAAGGCAAAAACTTACATGGGTAACGTATAAATTGATCCTGAACCCTCCTCTGGTTGTGATTCGAGCAAGCCCAATGCCTTTACCACAGTAATAATCAGCCTGGTGGATCAAGTGTGGATATCCATTAGCAGTGAAAGGGTGTGTAAACACGCATTCTATCGGCCACTTGCAGAAAATACACATGCCAGTGCCTATTAAGTTACTAACACAGAGTTAATAAATCTTCACCGCCAAATTACCAGTGGAAGTAATTCGAGTAGGGATACTTTTCGCTTAACAACGACTGGAGCTTATCGTAATCCGCATCAAGCCAAATCTAAAAAGCTCTAGGTCATCAGTAAAATTGTTAATACCTCCTGCAAGAGTATCACATCGAAATCTCCTTGTGACAAACGCAATGCAATAGCATTCAGTCTATCTTCTTTTCTTACGGTAGAAGAAGGAAAAAACACAGCCCTTAAAGTAAACGCAAGAAAATGATACGAACCAGCAATTAAATGTCAAAACCTTGAACTTTTCCTCAACCATTTCCGCACTTGGCAATTAAGTGAATGAACCACAGAAACGAGCTGACAGTTGTCAGCTATAAGTCAGTCTGACGGTGTTCACTTCTATAAAAAAACAGAAAAAGATATGAACGAAATATTTTTTACAATCCACTACCACATCAATGAAATGATCATATTAGTCGACTAATGTGAAGGCCATTACTAATAAAACATAACCATATGACCTACATCTCCATAATGATCCAAAATTTTGGTTTTCTTCAGCTTAAGTAATAAAAACAGTAGTCTACAGAGTCGATTAACAAACAACGTACGGTATTTTAAACTGGGTAGCGACGTTTTTTTTATAGGTCGCTCTGTCGCTGGTGCGTTGCCTTGTCGTCGACAAAAGCTTCATCCGATGTCCAATGTCTGAATCGAAAATGAGAGAGGTTCAGTATGGAAGATTAAATCATAGATTTTTGATTTCAATGATATTCTACACTGCTTGATCAAGAAGTTGGTCATACAAAAATACCAATCAGCCTATTATCACCTTCAATAACCATTATCGTTTTATACGAGCTACTGTAAACCAATTTGATTTCTTTTTCCTCGTTTCTTGGTGATAAGGTACAGATAAAATTCTGCGAAGTTCTTTCCACCACTCGACTGTTTTAGTATTGGCTGACTCCAAAAGGAGTAGTTCTGGGGTTAATTATATTTTATTTGTAGCATGTGGTGTGAAGACTGTATTGTTGCTGTGAATGAAATTGATTCTTTCACCAGTTAGTCCTACTGTATCGCCGACAAAAGAAAAGAGATAATGATGGTAACATACATCATAAGTGGATGTCATACAGAGAAAAGAGATAAAGAATACGTGAAAGAAGATAGCTAAATAAATTTGAAGTTGATATATATATATATATATATATATAATAAGTGTAAGTGTAGTAGTTGCGGTAGTCAGGAGAGTAAGATAGGGAAGAATGTAGAGAAGTAAAACAATGAATTTAGATGTCCACCCAATAATAGTGTATCAGGTTTCAAGGAGATAGGTCATTTGAACGCAGTCATTGTGTCGCTGCGTGATTGTCCAGCCTTCACTTAAAAGCCGTCCATGGACGGTGCCGGTAGGGAGTTCCAGGGATGCGAAACTCTCAGTAAAAAGAAATGGGGTGCGCTCAACTTTTCGCTCTCTGGTGAGCTATTCTTTGTGGATTCCTACGAGGAAGCCCATACACATTTGATGGTGGAATACCTTTTTTTTCGTGATTCTGGTAATTTGTAATCCTATAGGCAGTAATGAAGTCCCCTCCAAGCCAACGGTTACTAAGTGTGGGAAGACCTAGTCTCTTCAACCATTCATCAAGTGGTTAGTTTTGGAGACCTATCGCCCCTGTCGTCGCCGGTCTTTGAAAAATTTCTAAAAGGTTCGCGTCTCTTCTAAGCAGTGGGGGCACTTCAAGGTGTAGTCTGACGTATGTTATGTACAAGCTGAGAAACAGCTCAGGAGTGAATGCACCAAACTGTGTATGTGTAAAGTTTACGACCGCACATGCTCTCGCTACATCCTCCGTGTAATTTACGCTTGTATCCATTTTTCCGTTAAAACTAGACCTAAGCTACGCTCCAACGATGTGCAGGACAAGTTTTCGTTGCACGGGGTGTAACTTACATTCTGCGGCCTGCAGGTGAAAAGTTACACTACTTTGTTGTTTTTCAGGTTGGAGGTCATACTACTGACTACCGACCACTCTAAGATGGAGTCCTGCGATACTCCTGAAGACGATCTGTGCCAGGGTGATCCGACAAGATTTATTCCAGTAAAGAATTTCGTTTCCTCCAACCATGACAGAAGCAGCCCTCCTGTATGTGCCCAACTTGTTTTGTGTAGGAAATTGTTATAGTGAACTGTGTCAAATGCCTTCTCGCAGTCTAGGAAGATCACATGGGCTGGAACATTCATATCTCAGAGTGACGTCCCATGATTCCAAGCTGATAGTTGGTTCGCCACACAAGATCTACCCCTTCTGAATACATGTTGCGCTTAACGTAGTCTTTCTTATGAAACCTCATACACAAAAGGTCAAAGTTCAAGTCGAAGAAAAAATCAATTTCAATACATGTAGCCTAGAGGATGTGAAAACACACAAAAACAACCAATCACGTCCAAGATCACCGGGAGAGATGATTTATAAACTCGTGGAGAAATCTAACAGCTCACTTCAAATTGAAGAATGCGCTGAAGATGTCGCTTAGTAGGGTGATGAAAGCTTCTCAAATTAACGCAACCACATCGAAATGATCCACCCGTGCTACAAATCTTCTCCATCATATTTGACGTAGTCTTTCAGTCCTGTCAGGGTGTTCCCTGATGTGATCACCAATTAGACTACGCAGTACTTTTGAGACCACTCTAGATGGTGCTACTGGTATATAACCGGTTGTATTTAGCCCATCCACACCCTTTAAAATCCAAAAAAGTATGGCTGTTTTCCACTCCCTTGACGGTTTACCTTAATCCACTGAGTGTGGAGACAGGTTGCATAAGGGTCTACAGAAAGCTCCGGCGTACTGTTCTAGAACAGATGGCCCAATGTGGTCACAAACCGGGGGCTTTCCAGATGTGAGTCTCTGCAACTTTCTTGGCACCACTGCCGAGTTTGTTTGGAGCGTAGCCACTAGGTTTTCCTGCTGTAAAATAGCAGTGCCACCGTTTTGGTCTATTCGGGTAATACCCATATTGCTGTTTAACTATTTGTCAAGGGCTGAACTGAATGCTTCAGCCATTTCTGAACTAGTGATATATTGGCCGTTCGGACCAACTAAGGCGTATGCCACCTGGTTGGTAGGCTTTCTCTCAGACATGAATCGACACAGGCTTTTGGGGTTCGCCAGGAGTTTTCTGGTGAGGTTAGCTTGAGATGACCTCTTGTCACTTCTGACTCTTATTGTACTGGTTCTTGAGTTCCGGGTATGGTCGTTCTGACTCTCGGAGATTCACCACATAGATCAAGTCTTCCGCTTTGGTTGCGGAATTCGCTGCGTACCCTTCTTCAGCCATGAGGGTCTTTTCTTTGGCCTTGTTGTGACTAAAGGGAAGGTAGCTGAGATCGCTTTGTGAATAATCTCTTTTGCCACTGCCAATGTTCCTCCATGGATAACTAGGCCCAGTGTGTAGGCCATTCTGCGTCGGGCAAGTCTTCACGTTTCATCACAGTTAGCTTTTCTATAGAGTAGACATAGTCGTGTAGCGTCCCGCGGCATGCCCTTTCGAAGAACAAGATCAAACCCTATGACTACGCGGCCACTACTCTCTATGGTGATCATTATTTGGACCATTTTGACCAGTAACTGGTCGCTAGCTGGGATATATTCCAGCTCCGATGGCATTCCACTAGGGCCCCGCCTAGTACCGTCTCCAACATTCTCTGTCAGTCCTGCATCTGGAATAGTTTGTAGCAGATTTCGACCGAATTTTCCCCGAGCATATGCCGAGTCAAGGTTAAGGGATGGGACTTTGATGTCCCCAGTTATGGTGTCCCATATCCCTGTGATGGAGCTGAGCAGTAGCTGCTGTGCTCTGCCCCACAGGTGGATGATCGGTGGATTCCACACAGTAAATGCTTGGTATGGCCTATGGTGAAATGACACCGTATGCATTCTGGGAGTTCAATAAGTGGTGAGTCCATTGCACGTACGCATTCAAGTTGCATGTCAAAGTATATGGTAACACCCCTCTTCCTTGTTATCTCCATCTTGCCTGACCGGAGTCACATCACTTATGCAGATTTCGCGGCGATAGTAGGTTTTAGCCATTTTGGATTATTATTTTGGGGTGTAGGTGTAAATGGGGGTTTCTGAGTTCACGCACATTCCCTCTCAGACAGCTCACATTGCTATACAGGCAACTAAGAATGAGTCTCACAACATCAGCATGTTGTAGGGTAGTTGACGTTACTTCGTCTTCTGGTAGAGGATTTAATATTGGAACTAGGTGGCCGATTCCGATGGAACCGCCATTTTATTGTTTCTACCCTAAGATTTAGTTAGGACACTTGAGTGATACTGACTGTAATTCTCAGTACCACATCGCAGTAGTGTCACTGAGGCTTGGGGACGTATCGCGACCTCAGTTTGCCAACTCCTTACAGTTGCAAGTCTGCTTTCGCAGCATCGGATATGTCTTAAACTTTTCCCTTGGTCCCGCACCACCGTTGAAATACTACAGCCAACTGTTCCTGGAATTTGAACCAGACACCTAGCAGCCTCGGGGAGTTGATCAATGTGAGATGAGCTGAACGAGGTAGCCGGAAACTCCAGATTGCTTCAGAAGCAGCAAGGGCCATATGAGACGACAACCACCTACATCGCTGTACACCATGCATGTGTTTTTCACAAGCAGTGCCAGTTCCCAGCACCGGAACCCCGAGTATGACATTGGAGGTAGAGGGCATCAGTTCCAGTGAATTACATGCCGTTTGCCCGTTAGCCCATGGCCCATTATGTCTTATTCTTAGGTTGTAACTCCCGTCAACAATTAATACTTGAGCAAGTAACAGTGTTGTTTCAGTCTCTTGATCAGAGCCGTGTCACTCTTAGCGAAGGTTGCATAACTGGAGATGCCTGAACGCCCTTGTACAGACTTCACAATTTCTCTGAATTGACGTCTAGCCCTAATTGGTTGCGCAGAGTAGACCACTGTCCCTGATCAAGCAGTGCCCTTTGTTCAAGTAGACTTCTGTCGCACACTAATAAATTTAAAAGAATATTCCCACAACTGATTGACTTCAGAGAGTACGTCAGAGGTTTGTGGTCAGTGAAAATGATGAATTCACGACCCTCAACTGAATGTCGAAAGTGGCGTATAGCACAGTACAAAGCTAGAAGTTCTCTTCCGAATATGCTGTACTTTGTTTCCGCTAATTGTAGGTGCCTCGAGAAAAAGGCGAGTGGTTGCCACTCGTTGTTAACTGGTTGTTTCAGAACTGCGCTGATTGCAGTGTCTGATGCGTCAACTGAGATACTTAACGGTGCCGTTGGATCCTGATACACAAGAAGGGTGGCATCCGCAATAGCTTTTTTACCTGAGTAAAAGCATTTCCAGCAGACGCGTCAAGTCCGATGAATTTACTGTTACCTCGAAGAAGGTCTGTCAATGGCTGAATCAGAGAGGCAAAGTTGGGAATAAACCGTCGGTAATAACTTACCAAGCCGTTAAAAGTGCGAAGACTTTTCACTGTTTGTGGCTCTGGAAAGTTCCGTATCGCCTCGACTTCAGTAGCCAGTGGGCGAACGCCTTTGCAGTCAGTAGTATGGCCCAGAAAGTCGAGTGAGTCAACGCCTATTTGACACTTTAGAATATTGATGGTAACACCATGTAGGCGTAACCTTTCGAATGCCAAG